TCCCTGCCAAGGTTGCCTTGCAAAGAGGGGCAGCACAGGCAAAGCAGCAGAGGCACAGGGGGATGCAAATGGGCGCGAAGAAGCGCGCCCGCTGCAAAGTGACATTGCTGCCACGCCGGCGGGGATGCAGCTGCGGCAGGCGGTGGCACTAATTGCCTTCCCCAGCTCCATCCCTCCCCATTGCCCGTTGCAGGCAGGATACACATTAACACACACTTTCAGGTTATTCCAGGCTGCCCCAAGGCAGGAACTTACAGAGACAGACTGTGAGATTCACCTATTTGACTGAAAAATGGTGCTTTGCCTTGGGGGATAAGCCTGAGCCCACCGTGGCAGCCACCCGCCAACATATGAGTGACAGTGGCTGGCCCAGAGAACCATGCCCTCCTCACACCAATGAACTCTACCGCTAAATATTTGGCAATACCCTCATATTGCCCATTCCTGTCCCCAGATCCCCATCATTTGCCCGGATCAAAGCTGCTCAGCAGTAGAGCCGGCACGGATGCCTGCATCAGGGGCTCTGTGGCCCCAGCTCCTAAAATCCCAGGGTGGTGGGAGCACCTCTGCTTGCTTTTCCAAAGAAGGACGTTTCCAGCCTTTGCAAATGCTCACGGACATGGCTCTAATGCTTCCAAAACAGAAGAGGAAGGAGACAACCCAACCACATTATTAGCTTTAAATATCTCATGACCTTTTACTGCAAATCTCAAGATCTGAGGCGCAGCCCGCCTCACGGTTCATTAACATTTCATGTTGTCAGTGCAGCCAATGGGTTCAATTAGACTTCGCGACGGCATCTGCAAATTGCTGGCAACCCACCGGAGGAAATCCTCCTTCAGCCTGGCCGCCAGCTCTGACACTGCTGAAGAAATACCTTCTGAGCCTTGCCACGTTCCCGGGACATGCACTGAGCCGGTCAGTGCTCAGTGCTTGCGATCTCCCCGCCAAAATTGGGAAAAGGTGAGAGCCTGCTCCAGCAAATGCTATCGGGTGGGAGCAGACTGGGTGCAAGACCTGCCCTGGGCTCCCCAAAGATGCTCGGGATGGTGCCTGGCCACCCGCCTGCATCTAGGGGTGCGCATGCAGACATGCTTGCAGGGAGATCACATGTGTGAGCGTGGTGATCGCTGCTGTTGCGAGTTAACTGAAGGAGCCTGTAAAACCAGAAACAGGCTATTAGCAATCCATTAGGAAAGGGTATCCAGTTCCAGCCTAGGTAAGCCATTAGAGGAACATCTGAGAGCATTAGGAGAGCTCGCTTGGGGCCAGGATGGGGCTATAAAACAGAAGAGGAAACCACGCTAATCTGGCTTGAATTACAAACTTAAAAGCAGGAGAAAAATAAAGGATACCCTAAACATTTAATGTTTTATATTTAGGAGACAGAAGGGGAGATTCTGCCAAAAGGAGAGAATAAAAAACCTGTTTAGGCTACAAATATCCCATCTCTCTTCTGGCAGCAGAGAAACCACCAGCCCCTCTTCCAGAAAGGGAGGAGCATGACTTTAAAGTTACTTGGGTTTCAGAGCGAGCTCGGTGCTGGTGGGGCAGAGGGGAGTCAGTGGCCACCCGATGTGGCACGATGTGACACGGCTGCATCCTGAACAGCCAGGAAATATCAGTGTCCGGGTTCGATGGAGCTGCTGCGAGGCAGCAAGATGGTGCAAGGAGCATCCTGCACACGCCCCACTGCCCGCTCATGTGGAAACTCATCATCATCATCCCTCCATGATAATAATTCCCAGAGCACATCATCATAACTCCCAGAGCAAACTGCAACATGAGAGCTGCTAAGTGGCCTGAGCAGAAAGGTGCTGCTGAGCAGGGGAAAGGGAGTGTAAATGGCATGCTGGGGCTCAAACCCACCTTTGCAAAGCACTGGGAAGGGGATGAGGGTGTCCCATCAACTTTGGGTCAGCCCCAGATATTGCTTGATGGGGGGGATGCTTGGGCCAAACATTGCTTGGCTCTCTCTGGGACGGGAAACTGCACTTATGGCTAGCTTGCGTAGTGGTAGTCTCAGTAAGATTCACCACTCCCGCCACGGATGGCTTCATCTTCTGGTGCCAAGCCCTGGCATTATTAAAATCCTGAAAGGAAGAGCCTGGGAGAAAGCAGGCGCTGATTGAATCAGGCCCTATGGTATTCGACAGCTCGACATCCATCTGATCCTATTAGTGCTCATTCAGTCCTGCCTGCTGAGGTGCTGTGCATAAATCAGACCCTGCAAAGATAACGGGAGGCGGAGGGGAGAAAGGGGAGCTGCTTCTTCTGCCAAGAAATGCCACATATGAGCAGGGCCTGCATGGATATTCCTAGCCCTAGGCAGTCTCTGGTGCTCCCTTGTGGGTTTGCTCCCACAGGGATGCTGGGCTTCCTGCGGGGCTGCCAAGGGGTTGGCAGGACGTGCTTAAAACCTACAGCCAGTGCATGGATGGGTTGCCTCGAGGAGGCAAGGACAGGGCTCAGCATGGGGACCTTGGGCACACAGGGATGTGCCAGAGCTTGAGGTTACCCAGCTCCTCCTGGCTGCTGGTGGAGACTTCTCCTCTCTGTGCAAGGATCCCAAGCTGTCATATTGTCAGCAAGCAAGTTGTGTGCAATGGTTTTTCCATGCCAGCAGCCAGCGGGGACAGCAAGAACCAAGATGGGAAACAGCTTGTAGCAGGAGACCTTCACCTCGGTTAAGAGAGTTAAGACACCCCCATGCAAGCATGGCATGCACGACCATTGCATCCTTTCTCAGGGCACTTGTCCCTTCAAGAGAGACCCACCACCACCACCGTAGGATGAGCTGGATGGCTGAGCTAGGCTTGGCCCTACCAAACCATGTCCTTCCCTTTCCTGGCTGGATTCGGGGGAACGGGGACACCCCCAAGATGCCAACAAGCAATAGGTCAAGCAAAGCAGAGCTCAGCATGGCTTGGGCGTGCTCCCAGCATGCTGGCATTGGTGGGGTTCACTTTTGGGTGCAAACTCCTGCATTTGCAGGGTGCCCAGCTGGGCTAAGCAGGCTGAGCGTGCCAAGGGGGTCTGGGCTCAGAGCAGCTCTGGCTGCTGCAGCGCTGCCAACCCCTGGTGTTTGGGAGCTGATTGAATTAGGCTTCGCAAATAATTCATCTGATGAATAGTGGCAGTTTTCCTCAAATCATCCACAAATCAGATTTTTCATTACCCAGCCAGTGGGGCAGAGAGTCAGAAAACAAGGCTGGTACCTCACTCACTGAATGCTTGCACTTGCTTGCTGAGCAAATTATTCCCCAAACACACTTCTCCATCAGCCAGTGATGGGGGACATGTCTCTTGCAAGGAGATATTGATTAAAAGTGGTACTCAGGACTGCTGTGCCCTCCTGGGATGCTTGGAAATGAGCCCTTCCTGGTTCTCCTTGCACCTACCATGAGGGCTGGTACCTCAAGCCCTCTCTGCAGCTCAGGGTATCTTTAAATAGGAGAAATCAAATTTTTACTGCTCTAGAACTGTCTTTTCCAGCCAGGGTTGCCCTGCCACCAGTGTTGCTAACACCTCCATGTATTTCCCACCATTGCTGCCTGTCTGAGAGCACTGGGCAGGCCACACTGTCCCCCCTGAGGGTGTCAAGGTGGGAGGCAGCTCAATGGCTCTCCCACATTTTTGGGTGCAAACCCCTACATTTGCAGGGTGCTTGGCTGAATCAGGCTGTGGCAGGATAAAAACATCAGCTTTTTCCGCAACAGTTTCACACCCTGAAAAAAATGACATTGTGTTTGGTACTTCCCATTAATTCTTCCCCTTTTCTCACAGCTTCTACAATTCAAGCATTTCTCCCCCAAGTGAAAAAAAGTATCCACAGCAAACTAATACCCCAGTCTCCACCTCTGCTTTCTTACCCCTCAGGATGGTCTGTGGATGCTCTCCTGCTCCCAGGAGGGAAGCTAAGGGCAAAGAGACAAGCAGGAAAACCCTCTCCCAATGATTTTCAAAGCCGTCAGCAAACGCTTCAATCTGAAACACAACCTGCAGTGCTGCCTTGTCAAAAAACCCAAGCAAGGCGAAATGAAAAAGTCGCTGAGATACCAACATCTTGCAGAGACACAAGCAAATCCTCCCATCCCCTCTCTCAGTCGTTTCTCTCCTTAGGAAAAGCTGGCCGGCAGAAAATCCCCCTTGGCTTCACAACCCAAGTGAGCTCCCAGGGGACCGGGTGCTGCCTCCTATTTCTCTTTTTTTTTTTTTGGGGGGGGGGGGGGGGGGGGGAAATCTTTTTTTCCACAAAAA